TATTTAACTTTAATATAAATTTCATTTTACTTTGATTTCACTTTGATTTTACTTTAATATAACTTGGCATAAAAAAAGTACAATGTTGGGACAATGATGTTATCTGAAATGATTCAGGGGGTTTTCGAAGATGCATCTTCAAAATAATTCCCCTTGCCTATTAACATGACTTTAATACTTTTTAAAGGACTCCATGGAACATTTCTAAGATGCTTCTCTCTGAATTCACCCAAATACCATACGGAGATGCATCTCCAGACTATATTTTGTTTAATATGGGATGGATCTCAGAAAGAAAAAAAGTCTGGTGTGATTTTGGATGCGTCTGAAGATGCATCTTCGGATGCATGAAAGACATTTTTAAGTTTTCAGAGGTGTGGGATGCACATCTAAGGGTGTAATGAATATTTCCCTTTTTCAATTCATATCGGATTTTTTAATTGCACTATCGTATTTTTCGTTCCCTCTTTTTTATTAAATTTTCACAAGAGTATTTTTGCCATTATAAAATTATGTGGGAGTGCCAAATCAAATTATGGGGTGGCAACATATTGATAATATCGTCGGCGGATCTTGCAATATTCGCATCCACTTCGACCAGACCCTTTAATGTGTAACAATAAAATATACTCAACATGACCTTTAAATTTTCATTTGTCTTCAATTCAAAGTTGGTGAACTATATCTTCCCTTTGTTGTCAAACGAGAGTGAACGATACTAGAGCTTGACAGCTCTCTGATTTTCTAGATATCTCAAGAGAGTATTCAATTTGGCTTTCAGATTGAAGAGAAGTATGTCCTCGCAGATCCGCAATTGAAGTTGGGGTTTTGCGTCATTGAAATACACAAATGCAAGATGGGGATATGTAATTATTCTCTAATTGTGGTGTGTTTTGTAGAAAATATGAGATAAGAGACATCATATTTATACAAATTTTGCGTCACTTTTTAATTTCGTGTGGAATGTATCTAGATATACATATCCAAAATCACCCTGAACTAGAATAACACCAAAAACTGTGTAAACAAAACATAAAATGTAAACTATAAAATTTGTAAACAGAAACAGTCGACATTTACACCATCATTGCTAAATATATATTACTTATGTATTAAATCGTATCAAGATTACACTATTGACGATAATACATTCAAAAAAATGTATCGATTACAATCTAAAAGGTATCCAAAGATGCATCACCGCATAAATCTACTACTGGTTCCTCCTTCGACTTTTCCTTATTTGATTCTCTTTCAAGGTCGCTCAATTTGGTGAACTCTTCCATCCTTTTCAGAAATTGATTAGGCCAAGTTTCCGCCTCTTTTGTAGAATGTTCGTCCTACTCAAATGATGTACTTGGTATAGGACATCCCGATTTCAAATAAACCTCAACAAAATGTAGCAATTTTGAAAGTTACCCAATACACATGATGTGTCCGGATGGATTTTGAGGTGGGCCACTCCGAAGTGGAAAAAATATCTCCGAGAAACCATATCTTGTCAGATCGATACACACTGTGTTATATGTATTTGTTATAAGATGGATCATTTCAGGGAATCACATATATTTTGACTCTAGTACGGGACCGCTAACATAAGAAATAAGAGCATCGTGAATTGCATCAAAATGTTCTTTTTTACCGTATAGCGGTGTGTATAATTTCCTATGTGACGTCAACTCTTTCAAAAGTTGTTGGCGGACAAGAAAGTGATTATCCTTTCATCTATTGAGCAAGTCGGATACGGTCTGATAACCGCAATTACCATCACCTTTAATATTTACAATTCGCTAAATATGTTTGTGCATAAAAAATGACATTTCTTCAATGTAGATTATTTTCGGCATCGGTGGTGAATGAGGTTATTTTCTAATGCGAGCATCATTGTAAACACTTTTTTGAGATTTCAGAGTTGGAGAATCTGGAAAATGTGAATCAACATGTTCAAAGTATGAAGGAGACCAATTCTTTGAATTGTCATCTTGTGTCGATTTGACCTTTTTAAGGGAGCCTTTGATTTTAACCAATTCTGAAGAAAGTTTCAAGTATGTGGTTTTTAGATAGACAATCTTCCTCAACTACTCTTTGATGTGAAATTCCATGGTGCCATTGATAAGTGCCAAATTTTGGTGTTTTTGAGTGTGAATAATTGGTACTTATTGGCTTGACTCATTAGTTTCTCTAGCAATAACCTCAACTTTAGTGTGAATAAGTAATTGTTTAGTATTTTAGTGTAGTTTTTATCGGTTCGTGCAAATATTGTTGAGTTTCATTTTTTTTATATCATTTTTTGTAGGTATTCAAGCAATGATATTTAGTCATTATAATATAAAGCATTGAATAAGCTTTCCAACGCTTATGATTGTGCGCAAATCAGAGTTACGGTTCTCAAGTTATGGCGAAAACAAATTATAATTTTTCTCTATTTTTTTCTAAGCTTGCTTAGCCCACTCTGCACGCGCTTAGCGAGCTCCCGATTTTGAAATTTTATATATTCATTTGTAAAACATTGTTAGGGTTATGGTTTTCGGAATTTTTACACCGAACTCCATCAAAACATTCCTCTGGATTGAGAGGCTTAAAAACAACATTAGAGTGTATATCTTGATGATCCGGAGTTGGATTTGCTTCAACCGACGTTGACAAACCGAGAGATTCTTGTTCATATTTTTTTTTCTCTTTATACCCTCTATTGTTGGGGTTTTATTTATAATTTTACCTTGATTATATGTATATTTATTGATCATGGCTGTTGTATACAATCTCTTTTACAAATCTTTATCGTTGTTATATTTGATTTCAATATTTATCTTAATGGGTTTGGATTGCAATAAACATATACGGTTCGAACTCGATCTAAGATGAACATTTGTTAGGTTTTGAACTCTAGAAATAGATTTAGAGCTAATATTTACTGTGGGTATCGATGTTTAATGCTCTGTGTTGTTTAGTTGCGTGAGACATCACCGATGAGACAATATAGTAGAACTCTCGTCGACGCTTCAGACATGAACGCTGATTTGAGCGATACGTGATGATATTGGTGAGTAATTTAGGTTGTGTACAATTGATTGGTAGCTTTAAGTATTTGATAAGGTAGATGAAATTCAATTCCTAACGAGTTCTCTCATCTCTAAAGAGTGTATTCTTTACTTGTTTATATGTTTTTCTTTCCGTATTTTACGTTTCTAAACGATTCAAACCAAGCTTAAAAACGTAGGGATTGTTGAACGACATTTTTCCATCACATCGATCCCTGTGAAGACGGTAAAAACCCTGAGGGAGTTCTTCAAAATCATTTGCTTCTTGCTATTGTACTACAGTTCGAACAGTCATCTACTTTAGAAAATCTATCTTGTATTATTTCTCATTCGGTCACGATAGTTATACCTATCTTACCATCCTTCATCACACCGTCATCATCAAACCGGAGCCTTTTCCAATGACTGTAGACTTCGTCCATAAGTATCGAGGCCCCAAACTTCATCTTTGTTGTATTGTCGAGGTGTCTAACCTGATTGGTCCAAGCACATACAATCTTCTCCTTCACTTGTTCAAAGAGAATATTAATGCAAGTAATGAGGGATTAAATGAGTAAATTTTACCTTAATTTGTAGCATATTTTACTCTCTTTGATGTGATAAAACCCAAGAATGATAATTTGGAGTCAAAAACTTGATCGAAAATGATTTTTTTTAAGGGTTTTGGATTATGGAAGTAATATGGAGTGTGGGAGAAATAATCATGCAAGGTGTTGATATATTCAATTTCTTGCTTGACATTTTCAAAGATGTATTTCCAAATATGTCACTGAATGGTTAAATAAATCATATCAATGAAAAATGTGAAATAAATGAGATTCAGAGTAGTTTCATAGATGCATCTTCAAATAAAGTTTCACAAATACATTTTCAAACAAATTTTGAAGGGGTAATAGAGGAGTTGTTTCATTTATGAAGGATGAAGTACTTTAAAGTGCGTCCTAAGATAAATCTCCAAAAATACCTGATGGCAAATTTAGGTTTTCAATATTGTGAATCACACCCTACGGATGGGAAAAGAAATTCTCGAAATAAATGCTAGAGCTCTAAAGTTTAAATGCCAGACGCAGAAAAAGCATCTAGTGACTAGTGACGGAAGAAAGTTAGCACAACTTCATGCAAGTTGAATTCATGCAAGCTAGGCTACCACCACCTACACCACATCATTTCAGTTTTATTATAAGAAAAATGCTATTTTGACACCATTTCTTACACCCCATACATACACCGTATGCACTGTTCACCGTATTTATACGGTGAACAGTGTTTTTTTTATTAAAATAATATATTTTTTTAAAATATTAATTTTTAAAAAAAAAATATTTATTTTTAAAATTTATTTTATAACACAAATATAAGATTACGCATTAACCAACTTCACAGTTGCATTAACCACAAAAATCTACATCATTAACCAATTATTTTACCTATAATTTATTAACCACCTTCACTACTTCATTAACCAATAAAATACATACCATTAACCATGTTCTGAGCATTTTTTTTCATATATTTATGAACAGTAAATTGGGTGTAAGATATAAGAAAGGGTGTAGGAATAACAAACTTGTTATTATAAAGATGGAATCGATGACTCTTTATTTTGTTTTCTTTCTAATGCTGAGTACCATTTACTGCAATGAAACTAATGCAACTGTTGGAGGCAGCATCAGCTCTAGGTATAAAAAAAATAAAAGTGCATTGGAGAAAACTGAGCATAAATGTCAGGTATCTTGATTTTAAAAGCAGTAATATGTACCGCCCAAAAAATATTTCAAGTTCATGGGGAAATTCCTACAACCACAATTTCTGCAAGTATATATGCAGCTAGCCCAGGCAAGAGATACACAGCAAGAAATAGTTTCCTAGTTCTCATTAACGAAACAGTAAGCATCTACACAAGAGAAATAAGTTGATGACGATTGATAGTGGCTTTGAAACATAAACAGCTAATAGTACTTATATTGGATCCTCATTTTGAGAGTTGGAACAAGGAGAGAGCTCCAAGGTAACTGGACAATGATCACTTCCATAGAAACCTGCGGAGACAATAACAAGGTTATACTTCTGAAACATAAGCTGATGAAAAGTGATTGAAAATGATAAGAATGTAGAGGCATGCACAAGAAACCAATGCATATGGAAGTGACAGCAAAGCTAATTTTGGCATGGCCATTAAACAGGCTAGATACAACCCAACAGCACCAATTACCATAAGTTGCACTCTGGTTCCAGTTTTTTAACTTGGCAAATACTCCAGTATCAACAAATTTCCATTTTTTTAACTTGGCAAATACTCCAGTATCAACAAATTTCCATAAAAATCATATTTATATCATGAATTTCAAGTTTTGTTGAGTAAGCAACCAGTATCAACAAAAGAGAAAAAAAACTTACCTTTTAACTCTATTCCTTGTCCACGCATTTCACAGGCAACAATCTTTTCTTCAAGTTTTTCTGAAACTAAAAAATAGTCTATTCTCATTCGTTTTCCGCGGTACCTTCAAAGAAAACACTCATAAGTTTAACAAGCCGAAGCCATTTGTCAATTATAACCGAGTCTTACTTAAATAGACAGCTAAGTCAATTATAACCAAGTCTTACTTAAATAGACAGCTAAATTAAAATGAATTCCATATATTTGCAACTCTCCAAGAATGCTAACAAATATAGAGGAAGCCTGTCTAGTGGTAAAAGGAAGAAGTGCAAGAAGAAAAATGGTTTAAGACAAAAAAAATCAAAAACATAATTTAAATTCCATATATTCTTCTGTCATAACTTAAATAGTTGAAGATAACCATGACATGCCAATTGCCATTAGAAAAGGGGTGAAAGAATGTACACAAAAAAGTCACTTTATCGTCTTTCATAATATATTTCATTTCAAAATAATTCTCAAGCCCATAAAAATTTTCTTTACAAACTTAAATACCATCCGAATTCCCACTAATGTTTTCGAAGCACTGTCTGATAATAATTGGAAGCAAACTATGGATACAAAAGTGAAGGCATTGGAGAAGAATAAAACATGGCAGTAGGTTGCTTTGCTAGAAGGAAAGAAACTGGTTGGTTGCAAGTAGGTGTATACAGGAAAATACAAGGCTGATGAGACAATTGGGAGGTACAAAGCAAAATTGGTTGCTAAAAGTTTCACGCAAATCTATGGCATTGATTATTCAAAAACGTTTTCCTAAATGGCAAAGATGAATACAGTTCGAGTCCGAGTTATATTTTCCCTTGATGCTATTTACTGGTGGGAGTTACAACAATTTGATGCGAAAAATGCATTCTTACATGAAGAGCTTGAGGAAGAAATTTATATGGAGATTCCACCGGGATATGGGAAAAAAGGTTGCTGTCAATTTTATTTGTAATTTGCAAAAGACATTATATGAATTGAAACAATCACCTCGGACATGGTTTAGAAGGTCTACTGAGGCTATGACAACCTTAAGGTACCGACAGAGTAATGGAGATCATACACTATTTATTAAACACTCTACTTCAGAGCGAGTTACATTGTTGTTGGTATATTGGTATATGTTGACGACATCATTGTGACCGGAAATGATTGGAATCAACAAATCTTGATTCGACATTTAGCAAAATAGATGAAATTAAAATCCTTGGGATGCTGAAGTCTTTTTAGGAATTCAGGTGAGCCGCTTAAAAAAAGCAGATTTCCATATCAACAAAAGTATATCATAAATCTGCCCATGGAAAAAGATAAACCAGCGTGTAAACTTGTGGGCAGTCCTATAGATCCAAGTCATTAGTTGGGTAATGTGGAAGGTGCAGTGGTGGATAAGAAAATGTATCAAAGATTGGTTGGAAAATTAATTTACTTTTCCCACACAAGATCAGATATTGCATTTGTTGTAAGTGTCATAAAGAAACAAAAAACATAATTTTAATTCTTCAAAGTGCATTGCCTCAACATATAGCTAACAGTATTAAAGAGTGACATAAAGATCAATAAAATAAACTTCTTACCTCCCAATCGGGTTTCCAGACCATGAGAAGCCCTGCTCCATGTCTTTATTCTTGTGCAGAAATCTGTAGGCATCTACCAGCTTTCCCCTGAAGCATGCTCCGTGATATCAGTTATCTAGACTTATAAATAAACAAATAAGTAATTCAAAAATAAAGGGTAAAAGTTTAAACACAGATAGGAAAAAGCACAAGACTGTTTACAATCGCTTTTAAATGAAATTTAATTAAAAATCAGCTACTACAACTTGTACCAAATGCTATACATAAAGCTCATTTCCTAAACCTTAACATATTACAACACGAAATTCAATCTCTCCTGACAATCTCTCTCTTTTAGATAAACTGCAGAGAGAGAAATTCATCTTTCATAGTTTTGAGTGGATTCCTAACCAATTCAAGTATGATAGCAAGTTCAAGATATGAGGTTTGGCCATGTTGATGTTATAAGTATTATAAATCAATGATACATAAAAAAGAATAATGGATGACTCACTCCCTTAGGATGGTACCAAATCTTGCTCTTTCAGCCAAGGTAAATCCAGGCTGCCCGCAATCCTGCATAAATCCATATCATTGGATATTTAATTACTATGCGGAAGATATATTACACTACATGATCCAAATTGTTAGAAATATAAATCCTTTCTTGAGCCTCTACTTAACAATTTTTTAATTTTTATAAATGGGACGAGGTGCAAACACAAGGATTTTCCAACAATTTAAGCTTAGGAGAATTGGTACTTGACAAGATATCAAAGTGTCTATGATCAAGTATTTAACGTTTTAAATCCTTTGTTGGAAAATTTTCTATTTCCATATTTAATTGTTTACGTTTATTGTCATTTATTTTCTTTTATTCTCCATTAAGGAGAGAATTAAATATTTTTATTGTATTTTCATTATATAAACTAGTCTTTGGCTGAGGAATAATATTACAACAGCTTTTATCTATTTCTGCCAATTTGTGACGTAACACTCCAAGTTTTGTTCTTTTCAAGAGCTTTCATCTCCTCAAGTACAGTTTTCCTCCACTTTGGAATTTCTAGAGCAACCTGTACACTTTTTGGAATTTCTAGACTAGACATTTGATCCTGTTGCAAAATTGAACACTATAAGAATTCTTTTATCTCTTGCTGCTAACCTGGATTGGCCCCTACATCAGTTAGATGTTAAGAATGCATTTCTTAATGGTGATCTAGAAGAAGAAGTATATATTGACATTCTTCCTGGTTTTGAAAACAAATTTGGATCAAATGTATGCAAACTAAACAAGTCTTTGTATGGATTAAAGCAGTCTCCCAGAGCTTGGTTTGAAAAATTCACTCAGTCCATGAAAAATCAAGGGTACATTCAAGGACAGGCTGACCACACCTTGTTCACAAAATCCTCCAACAATGGGAAAGTTGTTGTTCTGATTATTTATATTGATGATATTGTCCTTACTGGAGACGATGGAGTGGAAATGGCAAGGGTAAAAGAGAAATTGGCAGTAGACTTTGAAATCAAGGACTTGGGATTTATGAGATATTTTCTAGACATGGAGGTTGCTCGTCCTAAGAATGGTATTGTGGTTTCACCGCAGAAATACATTCTAGACTTATTGAAAGAAACAGGAATGAGTGGATGTCGTCCTGCAGATACCTCTATGGATCCTAATGTATATGCATTCTCCTTTCGAAGAACATCTTGAGGCAGTCTATAGGATACTGAGATATCTGAAGAAAAATCCTGGAAAAGGATTATTTTTTAAGAAGACTAGTGAAAGGAATGTGTCTATCTTCACCGATACTGATTGGGCAGGTTCAGTCACCGATAGAAGATCAACCTCTGAATATTGTACCTATGTTTGGGGTAATCTTGTGACATGGAGGAGCAAGAAACAAGGCGTTGTAGCAAGGAGTAGTGCTGAAGCCGAGTTTAGAGCTATGTCTCAAGGTATTTGTGAAGGATTATGGATCCTTAGAGTCTTAAAAGAACTTAAGATGGAAGTTGAGCTTCCATTGAAATTGTACTCTGACAGTAAAGCTGCCATTAACATAGCTCATAATCCAGTTCAACATGACAGAACCAAGCATATTGAGATTGATCAACGCTTCATAAAGGAGAAGTTAGATGTCGGAATCATATGTCTACCTTTTGTGACTTCAAGTCAGCAAACTGCAGATATCTTGACCAAAAGTTTGACAAAACCTACCTTTGAGCATTTGACAGACAAGTTGGCCATGATAAATATTTATGCACCAACTTGAGGGGGGTAATGGAAAATATTTTATTTCAATATTTAATTGTTTATGTTTATTGTCATTTATTTTCTTTTATTCTCCATTAAGGAGAAAATTAAGTATTTTTATTGTATTCTCGTTATATAAACCAGTCTTTGACTAAGGAATAAAATTACAACAGCTTTTATCTATTTCTTCCAATATCCTTACATCCATTCTTCATAAACATGGGCATCTTAAAGTCACAAAGATATAAAACTATTCTTGGCCTCTATGACAAATAAAAAAGACAAATCTACTTTAGAGGAAACTCAAGGAGTAAGTAAATTGATTATACCTCTTTATTTGGAGGAACATAACCATTTTGTTTTGCTGTACTGAAAAACTCTGGATGACTCACGTCGATCTCTTCATGGCTGCAGAAGATGGATATATGAGAGTTAAAGGCTAAAATTATTCATCTATAAGAGTTTTTAAAGTTCACGACAACTGTGGAATTGCTTTCGGAACAGGTAAAAATAATTTTAGAAGCTAATTTGAAGCAATGCAGCCTCAGTGAATTAGTTTCATATAATGCTTCTAGGTGCATCAAATTGAAATAAAACATAAATCTTAACGGTCCTCTTAAACTGTTGGATTTCTGTTTTCTTGATGCCTAGGCTAGTAACAAATAGATGCAGCCAAGTCCAACAGCTAACCAAGCTCGTATCTAAAACTTCATAGCTAGAATTTATTAAATGACAAAAGAAAGAATAAACAAAAGTAAGATGCCAAGCAAATAGGACGGGACTAATTAATGTATGCGCCAAAAGCAGATGAAAAATGGAGATTAGCCACCTGACATTCAGATCCCCGCACCATATCAAAGGCTTGTCTGAATTTTGGTGAACAAATTCAAGGATTCTGTTGTCCCATTTTCTTCTCCTTTGAAATGAGTTTGCCTCCTCTTTCCACCCATTATTCGGTACATATGTATTCAATAAACGAAATGTTTCAAATTCAATTAAGATTACCCGGCCATCTGGTTCATGCTTTGAAGCTAAAAACGAAAACAAGAAAGAGAATTCATTGGCAGTAAACCAAACATTGAATATAATCCGCAAATATGTTAAAAAATTTATCGTTTCAGTAAAAATATCTAAGTTGCATGCCTATAGGACATGTAAAATTAATTTAAAAAGTTAAACTTCAATTTTGAATATATATGATAAATTTTAACAGTAAGCAAATTTCAACAACCAAAACATTATAACTATATTTAGGAGAATATATTTAGGAGAATTCTGAAGAGTCCTCCAGGCCAATCTTTTCTACATTAAAATGAAAATATGGACTCGAATAATAAGATCGTGATTCTTTTAAAGTCATGAATGAACATGCTTAATCTGCCAAGGATTATAAATTAAAATCAATGTTTTGATATTCTTTTCAGTAAAAAAACTAATATCTGACAGCTGAAAGCTGAAAATATTCATATGTAAATACATAAAACATGTAATGCCATTAATAGAAATAGAATAACAGAAATCTGTGAAGTATAATACCTATTTTATCAAGATTGAAAACAACACTTTTTGGCTTGAAACATTTTTTCACAAATAGTGCTGTCCCTGCATACTTTGAATCTGCAAGAGACCACCAAACACGATAGTTCCCAAACGGTGGATTTGAAAGTGCCCGCATCAATATCTGTAAGTTTGACAGAATATGAGTTATAAAATATTAGATAGGAATATGATTATTGTATCAATTTAGCAACAATAATGTTTTGTTCACGTGTTGAAGTCATTTCAATGCATGTTAGAGAAGCCATAAAGCCATTCACAAGCCTTCACCTAATACTATCGTGTTTTTGGCCTGCGAGCCGCCATCAGCAATAGTGGTTGCTGCGATCGCCATCACTTAATACTATGTTTTTCTTTCTATGTTTAAGTTTTATTGCTCTATGATTTAGAATCTTTAACTATTAAGTATGATGGTCTCTTTAATTCTGTGTTGTTTCCTGTTTTTGAGTATTTATGTTTACTTTATTCACTGATTTGTAGTCTTGCAATGGCAGCTATCCCGCTTAGCATTTTAGGGGGTCGGTACTCGGTACTACGGAGCAGTATCTAAAAAATTAACAATATTGACCTAATAATAGTTAAGTTCTCCTTTTAAGAGTTGGCCAATGACAAGGTACCGAAGACTTCATGACTAAGTAGTGCAGATTCTGAACCTTGCCATAATTAGCAAATAAAAATGGGCTTATGCATTGTCCACCTTTACGTTTCAACTTTCAAGTCCAAAGAGCTCTTGTGTGAGGGGATGTTTTAGGGATACTCAAAGCCATTTGTGCATTATCACGCAACTGCAACTGCAACCGTAATTGCGGTGTGATTTAGATACACGCACGTGACCACATTAGGAATTACAATTGACAATTTTGACATTGTTCGTTTACTTATTCTCATCAAAAATCTAAATCTCAGAACCCAAAACTCAATTTTTATCTATATAATGAAAAATCTTAACTTTAATAGCCTCTCAATTGTATATATCAAGCACCTCCCAATCAAAATTGCAATGCATGTCGCAGCAACCACTATGACCGCAATCGCAACATCCGCTACCACAATTTAAAACCATGAACCTCAACATGCATTTGTAGCTCTTTATGATATTCATAAAATCATAGTAATCTCAGTTTCTAAGCTTTTAAATCATCAAACAAAATCCCCGTAGTCTCAGTTTCTTGTTAGAAATTACCATCACCATCTCTAACCTAGACACATTTTGAATAAACAGCTTAACTAAATGCTTATCATATAAATGCTTATATACAATATATTTTAATAAAAGATAAAATAAAGTCAAAACATTTTCATATATAAACTATAAGTTATTTTAATAAACCATCCTGCATAACTAATGAAAAAAAGCTGAAAACATAAGCTATTTCCATAAGTCATCCCAAATTGAATTCAAATATGCCCTAAATAGGTAAAGAAATGGTATAAGCATCGCAACAATGAGAAATGAAAATGCCATTACCCTTTTTTCTTCCCTGGCGGAGTTAGTATCATCCTTAATTTCACCTTGATTTTTAGGAGCGGACTTGGATTGGGAACCGGAAGCAGCAGCGGGCATTCGAACTTCTTGAATCGCAATGACATCGGGATCGAAGGTGGTGATGAAGTTGGAGAACTCGGACCAATTGTTCTTGACGCGAAGGAATAAACTGTTAGCGTTCCAAGTCACGAACTTCAATGGTTCTTCTTTGTTCGTTTCGTTTTCGTTTTCGTTTTCTTCTTCTTTTTCATTCTCTTTCGCTTTCTTCAAAGCTTTGTCTGAATCTTTCTCTACTACTTGGAAAAACCGTTTCATCACTCTTCACAAAGCTTTAGAACAACACTCGCTTACTTCTTCACTCTTTGCTTTGCTCAAACTCGTGCCTCCTGTCCCAGCTCTCACACTCAAATTTTTTTAAAAAAAATTTAAAAAAAAGTTATAGAAAATTTTAATTTTATTTTGGTTTAATTGTAATTTTAGTTTTTTTTATTAGTTTTCTATTTTAAAATTTAGAATTTTTATTATTTATTTTTATTTTTATTTATTTTCAGTCCCTCCTATTTTAAAATTTAAATTTTTTATTCCTCTATTTTTATTATTTTAACTTGTGATCCCTTTATTTTTGTTAGTGCAAAGGTAGAATAAATGATGAAAGGTAGAAATATTCTATTAAGAATGACGGCAGAAGAAACAGAATTAAAAGTTACAATGATTGTCACCCTATTTATAAGTTAAAACTAGGGTTACTAGAATAAGATAAATATTAAAATACCCTCTAACAAACTTATGGGCTTAAGAAAGTAATATAATAAAATATGAATTATTACTAATACCATCCCTTAATTTATATTCCATCAAAACTTGTAACACCAATTCCATCCCTTAATATGAGAAATTGATCAGTCTTGATAGCTTTCGTCAGAACATCTGTCAACTGCTTCTGAGTGCTGCAATGTACAACTTCTAACACTCCACTCTGAACTTGATGTCTCAGAAAATGGTATTTGGTCTCAATATGCTTGCTTCTCCCATGCAACACTGGGTTTCTGGAAAGATTGATTGCAGACTTGTTGTCAATCATCAACTTCAGAGGTTTGTCTACTTTAATCTTCAGATCCTGCAACAGATTCAGAATCCACACAGCTTGGCATGCAGTGACAGCACCTGCAATGTATTCAGCTTCACAGGTTGACAACGCCACAACAGGTTGCTTCTTGGAACACCAAGAAATGGAACCTCCCAGAAATTTGAACAAGTACCCAGATGTACTTCTTCTGTCAACTCTGTCTCCACACCAATCAGAGTCTGAATAACTCAGAAGTTCTGACTCATTATTTCCTCCAGAGGGAAATAACACTCCATACTTCAGAGTTCCTTTGATATACCTCAGAATCCTGACAGCAGCTTGATAATGGGACCACTTAGGTTTACTCATGAACCTACTAACCATCCCAACTGAGTAGCAAATATCAGGTCTGGTATTGCACAGATACCTCAGAGAACCAACCAACTGTTTGAAGGTTGTAGCTTCCACATCCTTTCCTTCAGAGTCTGAATCCAGTTTCTGATTTGTATCAGAAGGTGTGACAGCCATCTTACAATTCTTCAGATCAAATCTCTTCAGAAGTTCTAATTCATACTTGAGTTGATGCAAAATGATACCTTTCTCAGAATATCTGAACTCCATCCCTAGAAAGTATGTCATTTTGCCTAGATCAGTCATTTCAAATTCATTCATCAGAACTTTCTTGAACTTGGCTATCTCCTGTTCAAAACTTCCAGTCAATAGTATATCATCAACATATAAACATACCAGAGTCATATTGCCTTCAGAAGTATGCTGAACATAGACACCGTATTCCATCTCACATTTCTGAAAGCCTTGCTTCTTGAAAAATGAATCAATCTTCTGATTCCAAGCTCTGGGCGCTTGTTTCAATCCATATAGAGCTTTGTATAATCTGTACACCATCCCTTCCTGATTCTTTTTCACAAATCCAGGAGGTTGTGACACGTAAACTTCTTCTTCTAATGGACCATTCAGAAATGCAGATTTTACATCTAAATGCATCAGAGGCCAATTCCTGTTAGCAGCTATTGCAATCACCATTCTGATTGTTTCATGTCTTGCTACAGGTGCAAACACTTCAGAGTAATTCAGCCCAGGTTTTTGTAGAAATCCTCTGGCTACCAGCCTTGCTTTATGTTTGCCTATTGAGCCATCTGGCTTTAACTTCTGCTTGAAAACCCATCTGACGCTGATGGCTTTCTTGTCTTTTGGAAGTTCTGTCAGCTTCCAAGTTTTGTTTCTCTCTATAGCATCAAGTTCTTCTTTCATGGCCTTCAGCCAGAGCTTCTGCTTAAAAGCCTCTTCTGTACTTATGGGTTCAGAGTCTACTAACATGGCACACTGAATAACTTCTCCTTCAGAGTCTACTTCAGTGTCTTGCAGCATGTCAAATTCTGCAAATCTTCTGGGAACGCTTCTGATTCTTTGTGGTCTCTGAACTTGTTCAGAGTCTTGGGCTTCAGATGATTGACTTTCTCCAGAGCTTTGACCAACTTCAGGATCTGGCATATTTCCAGAGTCTTGAACTTCAGAATTTCTAGCTTCAGAAGCTTGACTTCCTCCAGAGCCTTGGCCATCTTCAGAGTCTGAATTTCCACCAGAATCTGGATTACCATCAGAGTCTGGATCATCAGAGTCACCTTCATCTTCTGAGTCTTCTCCAGAGTCAGAATCACTATCAGAGTCAGAATCAACGTCAGAGTTTACTTCAACTTCAGAAATTCTTAACTCTGACTTTTCTTCAGAAGTTCTAACATCAGAATCAGATTGAGACTTATCCCAATTCCAAACTTCTGATTCCTTCACAATCACATCTCTGCTGAATTCAATTTTGTTGGTTTCTGGACAATAGAGCTTGTATGCACCTGTACTGTGGTACCCTATCAGAATCATTACTTTGCTTCTATCATCCAGCTTCTGTCTTCTGGCTTCTGGAACATGTTTATAGCAAACAGAACCAAACACCTTCAGATGACTAACACTTTGCTTGTCTCCAGTCCACTTCTGCATAGGAACTATTTCCTTCAACTTCTTCGTAGGACATCTGTTGAGTACATACGTTGCAGTGGCAACAGCTTCTCCCTAGAGCTTCTGAGGAAGCTTCTTCTCCTTTAGCATGCTTCTCACCATATCAAGCAAAGTACGGTTTCTTCTTTCAGCAAGACCGTTGTGTTGAGGGGTATAAGGAGCAGTAACCTCATGCTCAATTCCATTCTCCTCACAGAACTTCTGGAACTCTTTGGAGTTATACTCACCTCTACCATCAGTTCTAAGAATCTTCAACTTCTGACCACTCTGATTCTCAGCCTTCATTCTGAACTTCTTGAATTCATCAAACACCTCATGTTTAAATTTAATAAGGGATACCCATGTCATTCTTGTGAATTCATCAACAAACAACACAAAGTATTTATTCCCTCCAATTGATGCTACTGGAAATGGACCACACACATCAGAGTGTACAACTCCCAAGGCATGTTTTGCTCTTGGAGCAACTTCTGATGCAAATGGCAATCTTGGTTGTTTTCCTTCCATGCAAACTTTGCATGACTTTTCAGGTTTCTTAATTACAGGAATTCCATGTACCAATTTCTTTGAATTCAGATGTTTTAGGCTTCTGAAATTCAAATGACCAAATCTTCTGTGCCACAGCTCACTCTCCTTCTCAACACATGTTGCACTAAGACATTCTGAGTCTGCAGTTCTGACATTCACCTTGAATGTTCTATTCCTTCCCTGTTCTGACTCCATAATCAACTTCTGATTACAGTCATACAGCTTCAGAAGATTGTCCTTCATGGTAACTGAAAAACCTTTCTCAATTAATTGTCCCACACTCATCAGATTGCTTCTGATGCCAAGTACATACCACACGTTCTGAATCAATGTTGTTTTCCCATTGTTCAGAGTCACTCTGAAATTTCCCATACCTTTTGCATTAAGATATTTGTCATCAGCACATCTGATCTTTGTTCTCTTTTCAGAGTCAAAGTCAACCAGCCATTTCTTGTTTCCAGTAAGATGATTTGAACAGCCAGTGTCCATATACCACCAGTCTGTCAGATCATCAGATTCAGAGGCCATCAATAGCACAGATTCGTCATCAGAACTTCTGGCTATATTTGCTTCTTCTGATTTCTTCTCCTTGTTTGACTAACAATCTCTAGCAAAGTGACCAAACTTCTTACAACAGTAACATTGGATCTTCTTCTTGTCATACTTCTCTTTTCCCTTCTGAGCATTCTTTTGTCTATCAGAGGTTGAGCTTTCTGACTTCTGACCACCATCAGATCTTCTCCTGGCTTCTGACTGCTTCTGATACCTCCTATCAGAAGTTGCTTTCAGAGCCTGCTGCTCTACTTCCCTTTCAGAAGTTCTTTCAGTCAAACGCAACTCTTGCGCTTCTAAACTGCTCTGCAGCTCTTCAATTCTCATGGTACTCAGATCTTTGGAATGTTCTATTGCTACCACAATGTAATCAAATTGAGAGGTAAGGGATCTCAATACCTTCTCCATGATTGTTTCTTCAGAAAGAGTTTCTCCACACGCCTTCATCTCATTAGTGATCATAATCACTCTGGAGATGTATTCAGAAACTTTCTCATTATTCTTCATGTTGAGATTCTTATATTGCTTTCTCAAGGACTGAAGCTTCACCTTCTTCACTGATGCGTCACCACCATAACATCTAACCAGTGTGTCCCACGCAGCCTTTGTTGTCGTTGAATCTGCAATCTTCTCAAACACATTTACATCAACACATTGATGAATAATGAATAATGTTTTCTGATCCTTCTTCCTTACTTCCTTCTGCGCGTTTTTCTGTTCATCTGTTGCATCTGCTGCTACTGGAACATAACCATCAGTGACAAGATCTAGAACATCTTAAGCACCAAATAGTACACGCATTTGGATCATCCAACGATTCCAGTTTTTACCATCAAATACTGGAAGTTTGGTGTTCATGTTGCCGTTTCCGTTCATCTTCTACCTTGCACAATACACTCAGATTTCTCACACAGTGTTTCCCAACCCACAGAATAAAATTCTGATCAGATTTTGTTCAAGATTCAACACGAATCTAAGAATCAAAATCAAACACACAAGACCTCACGTTCACTCGTGTTTCCCGTGTTTCCCAATGAATCTGAACCGGAGCTCTAAATACCAATTGTTGGTGCAAAGGTAGAATAAATGATGAAAGGTAGAAATATTCTATTAAGAATGACGGCAGAAGAAACAGGAT